CAATGGGCTGGAGATGTGATTCATGAACATTCGTGTCAAAACCGATTTTTATACATAACTTGGCATTTTTGAAGCATTTTTTTAGTTTTCCCGAAACCCCCCTTTTTAACTTCCTCTCATGACAGTTTTACTACAAGAGTATGTTATTTCTTATAATATGAGGATGTAATTTTTATTATAAGAAAATGACATATTTATTATAAGAAGATGTCATTTTGATGACATTTTTATTATTAGAGGATGGTAGTTTTATTTAAAAGAGGATGCCATTTTTTATTTTATAATATGATAGCAAATTTATTATTGTGAGGATGACATTTTTATTCTTTAAGAGGATGGCATTTTTATTATAAGTGGATGTCATTTTTTTATAAGATAAGAGGGTGGCATCTTTATTATAAGAGGATGTCGTTTTCATTATTAGAGGATGACGATTTTATTTATAAGAGCATGGCATTTTGTATTATATAATAGGATCAGCATTGTTATTATTGCGAGGATGGAAATTTTGTTATTTTAAGAGGATGAGATTTTTAGTATTAAGAGGAGGCATTTTCTTTCACTGCCACTTTTTTTTGCACTCAAGTTTTTTGGTTGATGACTAGGAACATGGCAACTTTTGTGGCATTTTTTTTCGGTTTCCATTTTTTATGGCATTTTCTAAAAACAACTATTTAGTGGGCCTTTGGGCCAACTAGGGATCGCCATGGCCCTCCCCCATGGAGAATGAATACGTTCGATGGGAGGCTCCTCTTCGCGACTGGACACCATGATTGTTTGAGAACACATTTTGATTATTTACAATAAGTGCACTATTTGTGGGTGTGTGTGTGTGTGTATGTGTGTGTGTGTGTGTGTGTGTGTGTGTGTGTGTACATTTTTCTGTTTCACTTACCTGAAATATCTCACTTATTTTAAATATTTTGGAATTCTACTCCCTCCACCCACAAATAGTATGTTCTAACTTTTTTCTGAATCATATGTATATAGACAGGCTTTAGTGTGTTTGTTCACTCATTTTCAATCTATATGTAGTTCATATTGAAATATTCAAAACATCTTATATTTGTTAATGAAGAGACTATGTCTCAGTAATTATAGTACGCATTTCAATTTCACTTAGTTGGAACTTTTAACATATAACATATAACATATTTCATTTATTTCATTTTTCTAAAACATATATCTATGTAATTCAACTGCATATTTCAATAATTTTAGTTACTTTCATTGTTTTCACAAAAAGTGATTCCAAATACTTCAACATGGTGATTTCATATTTCACAAACCAATAATTTCGATTATTTAAAAAAATGATTTCAATCATTTCATGATATCCCACATCAGTTTCATGTCATGATTCAATAAATGCAATAGCTTCATATATCCCACAGGTGCGTCTCAGTTATTTAAAAATAGAGATGATTATGTCAATAAAGTGATAATGATATTTCAGAATCGCATTTCAACAATTTCACTTATTTGAAACATTTGAGAGTTTTTAGTAAAAATATTTATTAGTAAATTCAACACCTATTTCAATGTTTTTAAACAATTGAAATGGCATTTTTCCCCCGAGAATGAAATAGTTTTTTGAGACAATGAAATAACGAAATCACCTTTTCAAATTTTATTTGGAATCATCTCGTTTTGAAACAACTTAAGTCATTTTCATTTCCGAAATAATTAAATTAATTTCTGAAATAATTGAGATCATTTTCAAAATAGTTTTCACTTGTGAAATCTATTTCAATCAATTTGTAAACAATGAAATTTAAACAAGTTTAAAATATAACTCATGTTGGTCTTCTTTTAAAAGGTCTTGTTGCCAGTATTGCAAATATATATAAAGTCTCAAATATATTCTTATTTTATAAGATATCAATCAATCAATAATCAAACTATTCCAAAAAATAAAAAGGATTTGTTTTGATTAGGGAGAGGGGATAGAGATTCTGTACGCAACTGCCCCTTCTCTGTGTGCACACTCTCTCCACCAGTAGGTATCTTTTCCTTTAGATTGACTGTTTCTGCAAACAAAGCCCATGTTTGGCAACAGTTTTGGTGTTTTGTCACGCATATGTCTCATGTTATACCTGAGTACTCCATATGGTTTAGAAATCTAAGATCTACAAATATTATCTCCACAAATATAAAAGTTTTGTAATGTTTGACTTATAGATTTTTTGTTCAACTTCCATAATACCAAATAATTTTTCATAATTACATAAAAATCATAGAGCCATAAAATCTATGATGGGACATATATGTTTGATTTGATAAAACACTTTATAATCAAATCCAACTTTTATATTTCATATTGTGTTGCAGAAAAACAGAACTAGGATATTAAAAAATGATTATCTTTATATCCAACAAATTCAATCTACTAAATGTGGATATTCATGCATGCCATATCTTGAAGCCTAAAAAAGGACCACAAATATGGATACTTGAATTTTAATAGCCTGGTTCTACATTGCACCCGCAAAAAAAAAACTACATTCCATAAATTTCAACAAATTACATACACTTTGTCTGTGGTGAAGAATGTAACGAGCTATATATCCCTCCATCTGGGGTTTATAAGGCAGGCACAAATTTGTAGGTCTTCATATTTTTTTTGCTGGTGTTTAGGTCTTCAGTTTGACTAACGAAATATGTACCAAAATGTTTGTAAACATAGTGCATTCCGACTTCAGATGTATTTGTAGTTCAGTAATAAAATCAAGAAGAATATTTCAAGTCAGAAACACAAACAGTGTGCATAGAAATTAAATTACGGATAATAACTCTTGGCAAGGACAGTATGAATCAAAGCCCTGGCCGGCGTAGCTTTCGCCGTTGCTGTGGTCCAGAATCCAGACAAAAGAAAACGCCAATTAGCTAGTCACGCACATTATCTTAGAATATGTGGGCGGCCGGCCAGGACCAAATTCAACAACGCAGACATCATCACCAACTCGCAGGGCAGTTGGATGGGACCAAATCTGATTGGATGAAATTTAATTGGATTTAAAAGTATATGTGTGTTTTTTCAAAGGAAGATGCTAACACTGGAATAAAATTTTGAGGTCGTCAATACAATAGTGCATGCGTATATGTCCTGTCTCTGCAATCAGCAAGGCAACTGATTGATCACTCCTTTGGATGCCTAGCATGGACGAGTGGCTGAGCTTGTGTTTCATAGCACTATGCACACCACTCGCCCTCTGGTGTCTCAAGCTCGCCGGCGGCAAGAGAAAGCCACAGAAGTACAAGCTGCCCCCTGGGCCATGGACTCTCCCGGTCATCGGCAGCCTACACCACCTCGCCAGCGGCGTTCCGCACCGGAAGATCACGGAGCTGTGTCGCCGTTTCGAGCCGTTGATGCTCCTCAGGCTAGGGGAGGTCCCCGCCGTGGTGGTCTCCAGCGCCGAGGCAGCGGCGCTGGTGATGAAGACCAACGACCCCATGTTCGCGGACCGGCCGAGCAGCGCCACGGTGGACATCGCCGGCTGCGGCGGCAGGGGCATCATCTTCGCCCCCTACGGCGACCACTGGCGCCAGATGCGCAAGGTGTGCATCATGGAGCTCCTCAGCTCCACGCAGGTGAACCGCATGGAGGGCATCAGGGCCGAGGAGACGGCCAGCCTCCTCCGCTCCATCACCGCCTCCGCCGGCGCCGCCACCATCAACGTCACACAGAAGGCGATGGCGCTCAGCAACGACGTCGTGACGAGGGCGGTTTTCGGCGGCAGGTTCGAGCAGCAGGACGAGTACCTCGGTGAGTTGCACAAGGCGTTTGAGCTGCTGGGTGCCTTCTGCCTCGTCGACCTCTTTCCGTCGTCCAGGTTGGTCAGGTGGCTGACCAACGACGAGCGCCGCATGAAAAGAAGCTACGACCGCACCCAGCGCATCATCGCCAAGGTCATCGAGGGGCGCAAGGCCACGAGAGCTGCCGGCGTCGGCGCTTCCGGAGCCTATGAGGAGGACCTGCTGGACGTGCTGCTCAGGCTGCAGCAGGAGGACTCGTTGGAGTTTCCTCTAACCACAGAGACAATAGGCGCTGTCTTGTTTGTGAGTATATTTTTTTAAACATATATTGTGAGTATATCTCTTAGTTTCAAGTATTTATCTGAATAGTATATTCATTTTCTCTATAAATACCCTATCTCAGCGTAGTTTTGACCGTTGTTTTGACTGATAAATAGTTTTCTCAAATGATAAGTGTCACACGTGTGGTATGAAGCACTTCGGTCCTAATGATTTTTACAACTAAAGTTGCCATAAAAAACCCAAAAAATAAACTGAAACTTGCCGTCCGAAAAAAAGGTGCCATGCTCGTGGCAATTTTTTTATGTGGTGCATGCCTGGGTGCGCTAGGTGTGTGAAATTTTTTGTGGTGTTTCGACATTTGAGGAGCTCATTGAATAAATAAATAAATTTTGGCTAACAAAAAACCAAAAAATGTTTTTTGGTAGAGCTCCTCGAATGTTATTTGTCACAAAAATTCACACGCACCTAGCACATGCAAGCATGTTGATTATCATGAAATTTCAGATCTTTTTGAAGTTGTTTGCGTTTTTTTGAATTTACGGTTTATCAGTCAAACCTGGTCAACAGTCTTAAATGTGGTCAAACCCTGGTCAATGTGCTCAAAATCTGATTTTGGACCAAACTTATCCAGTTTTAAGACTTGAAGGACCAACTGTGTACCAAATTTTTTTGAGGGACCAAGTCTATACTTTTGAGGAACTTGAGAGACCTAAAAAATACTTTTCTCAACAGAGTTATATACAAGCACATAGGCCTTTCCCCACGGGGTAGGGAGGTAAATTAAGTCAAATCAAACTACAATAGTTAGGAATGAACTAGTCTAGGTAATCCAAGATCTTAGGAGAGACCTTATACTTTTAGAAGTTTCAAGTCTTCCTTGAATTTAGAAGCCCAATGTGGAAATAGATCCACTAAAAACTTACGGAAATTTATGAACTAAGTTGGTCTTGGTTTTTTCTCAGTTTTACCCTTTAGGCCTCCCTTGGTTCATAGGATATGAATATCATAGGAATAGGAAAACCATATGAAGTGAGATGACATACATTTCAGTTCCTATAGGAAAATAGGATGTCACTCTTGATTAATAGATTTTTGAACTTTTCCATTGGGTCTAGGCTAATGTTCTTTTTTCTTTGAAATGTGAAGGATTGGTTTCTATTTTATATAGGAATATGAATCCATTCGTACAAACCAAAGAGTTCAAAAGGAATTTGTCCTACAAAATTCCACTAGACCAAAGGAGGCCATAAGGGCCAGCAAAGATACTTTTCAACTAGCAAAGAGACTAAAACCTTGGAAGCGGATTTGTAGCACCCGGGTGCTCCACACCCTATACGAACATTAAATTCAAAAAAAAATACCAAGAAATTTGGAAAACAAATCTGGAATTTTGGGGTATCAAACCTGGGTTCCCGATCTACACCCGTGTGAAATTTCGTGAAAAAGACCAGGAAACGTATTCGTGGCAAAAAATTCCTATGTATAGAAAAAAAATGTTTGGATGTATTTTTGTTCGGACAGTATTTTCTTCGCCACATATACATTTCCTGGTATTTCTCACGAAACTTCACATTGGAGTAGCTTGAGAACCCAGGTCTGATGCCTCCAAATTTCTGATCTTTTTGAGTTTGTTACGTTTGATATTCGTATAGGGGTGTGGAGTACCCAAGAGCTCCCGTGTATTTTTCAAAAAACCTTATAGTACTTAATACAATCATTAATTTCTTATTTTTCTTGCCAATGATCAACCTATATCCATATAGGGACCTAGATGAACTCTCATTTTCAAATGCACGCAATGACATTGAAGATCATTGGCGTACGCTGCTACATTTTGCACATGCAAATTTATTGCCATACAGTTTGTCCTTGGTTATGTAATATGATTACATGTTTTATTTTGATCTCTAATACTCCCCTAATGGTGTGATGTTAAGGTTGATAGATGTATTAAATATATTTGATGCATTAATATGGCATCCAATTCACAAGAAACATATCACATTTGTACCATGTTCATAGAACACGGGTTAGTTAATCACAGTGTGATGTCTACATCATACAAAAAACAAGTTACAACATTGTTCATGAAAGATAAAAAGTTAATTACTAGCTGCAGTCACTCCTATGTTTCTACATAGCTTTTGATTTGAAAAATTCTTGGATTTGTATAAATCTATATATGCACATATAAAGGTTTAATTGTACTTACTTTCCACTACTTTCGTTTACAGGATGTATTTGCAGGTGCTACGGAAACAATAGGATCTGTTTTGTCATGGGCCATGTCAGAGCTTATGCACAATCCTGATGCAATGGCTAAAGCACAACAAGAAGTACGTGAGGTACTTGGTGAAGACCGAGCTGTCATTACTAACAGTGACCTTTCTGAACTCCACTATATGCGGATGGTCATCAATGAGGTCCTTAGGTTGCATCCACCTGGTCCTCTAGTCCACCGCATGGCCAGAGATGACTGTACACTCATGGGTTATGACATCCCTAAAGGCACCAATGTGTTCATTAATGTTTTTGCAATTTCTCAAGATCCTAAACATTGGGACAGTCCTAAAGAGTTTAGGCCGGAGAGATTTGAGAACAACAATGTAAACTATAAGGGGACACACTTCGAATTCATTCCCTTCGGGACTGGGCGGCGACAATGCCCTGGGATTCATTTCAGCTCTTCAGTCACTGAGATGGTATTAGCAAATTTCCTATATCACTTCGAGTGGATGCTCCCCGACGGGGATAAACTTTCTTCATTTGACATGTCTGAGAAATTTGGCCTTACGGTAAGCAGAAGATATGACTTGCAACTTAAACCTATTACACACCTGTGGTCCAATGCTATGCCATAGAAGTGATGCGGAGGGCCTGTATATTCACCTGACAATGCATGTTCAGGTACCTTCACCTTTAGCACATGTCATTATTGTTATGAATGGTTGTACCTTTATGCAATAGAATAAGAGAAATGCATTGCAAACATTGTGTACTCATCTACAAAACCATTGTGATATTGTACTGTTGTCTACATTATTATTGTGCATGATAGAATATATATTATGTAGTACGGTAAAATAGAACATGATTTTGTAGTTAGGTATAGTTTATGCACTTTAAAATAATACAATGGCTATTAAATTAACTATGTGATTTACCTTTATAACGTGTTGGATTTTTTTAAGCACATATGGTTTGGAGATATGAACAAGTGGTGGGTTACAAAAACAGTTGTCACAGAGGGTTTAAGAGAGTAAGCAGGTAGCAGAGGATGCTTACTCCAAGGCCGTGCTCAAGCAGGCATGCAGTGTGTTGAAGTTGGCAAGTCGGGTCGACAGTTTAGGCTGAAGGACTTTATCATCGTCCAGTTCGTCGTGATTGCAGTGTTGTTCTATTGGTGTGACCGGTGTTCTTGAGTAAGGTGTAGCTAGTAAGCTCACCACATAGGGTACAAGGTAACCATACCTCGCTATATGTATGCAACCAAACAACATGCAGTAGTATGAGCCCAACCAATGCGAGCAACCAAATACAATGCGTAAAGCCATTGGTACGATGCAGGGAAAAGGGATGCAAACAATCAATCAACATGCAGATGTTGATTTTTTGTAGGTACATCCAACAGAAAAATTCCATCCAGCACTAGCAATGGAATGAATTCCCTCAAAAGAAGAGAAAAAAAACAATGGAATGAATCAGGTACTCCGTCCGTCCGAAAATACTTGTCATCAAAATGGACAAAAAGGGATGTATTTAGAACTAAAATACATCTAAATCCCCGTTTATTCATTTTGATGAAAAGTATTTCCGGACGGAGGGAGTACCATCCGATAGTCCCACTTGAACCGCGCAACCATCTACCATACCATATCATATCTTCGGTCCGTCGATCGCCACGTCCAATCCCGATCAAACTCCACCGTATCATTATCGATCTTAATCTTCGTCGTGTTCCCAGCCGCCGACTGTTCCCTCTGACCTCGCGGCCCTCCCAATGGACGTGCAGCAGCAGAGCACCACGGTCAATCAAGAGACATCATCGGCGCTGTTAGAGTTGTGTCGGATATTATTGTACAAGTTAGGTTACAGTTGGACTTGGAGTCGTACGGTGTGTAGACAGGGTAGGAGTTGTGTCCTAATAGGACACTTGTATCCTAGGCCTCTCATATATATCGGAGGTAGACAGATGATGTAACCTATGCCAACATAATAGCACGGGCACGCGGGGGAGCCGGCGGCGTGTGCCGGCGCCCGGGCGACCAGGGTGCGGTATTGTGACGGTGTCATGGGGAGGAGCGCCCGTAGTCATGCCCCGGGGATGTAGCCATATCGGTGAACCTCGTTAACAAATCTCTGTGTCGTGCCTCGTGTGATTGCTTGCTCCTCGGTAGATAGATGGAGTGCCTCGGATTATTCTAACAAGTGGTATCATGAGCAAGGTTCGAAGAGGTCGCTGATTGTTGATCTAGAGGAAACGACGAAGAGCGGCGGATGGTCATGGTGAACGTGCGGGTTTGCACGATTTCAAAAGGACCTCGGCAATGTTTGGAGATCGTCGGGTGAAAAGCAGTCGGCAGATCGGCATGCATGATCGGCTTGGACTCAGCGCAATAGCATGCATCAGATGTTATTCGACGGCGGCGTGTTCTGGTTGAGGACTCGCGAGATGGGATCTGATCGGTGCAGCAGTGTAATGCATGGAGCGACAAAGGGCTAGCCAGCTAGGGCAGCGGTGCGTCGCGTGGCTGGCAGCTGAGCGAACGCGTGGAGAGCTTCGGCTCGAGGCGGAGGCCCGGCGGTAGTAGCAGCCAGGAGCGGCTGGGCAAGGCCCATGTGGCAGGCGCGGAGCTGAAGTCCAGGAGCACCTGCGTACAAGATGCAAAGCGTGAGATTTGTTGGATAAAAAAAAGGCGTCAGATGTGGTGTACTTGCCATCGGGTGCTTGAGAGAAAAAGGAAAAAGGAAAGTTTGGGTTAGCTTATGCCATCTTTGGGCACGGGAGGCTACCACTGATATGTCGTTTTTTGGTGTTTTCTTTGTGTTACATGATGGCAGCGGTCAATACACTGCAGAAAATAAGGACGCGGAGACGCATATCCATGGGAGATCAATGTCAATTGGTAGCTGGATCGATGTTTATTTTGCGGAATGCCAAGTTGATCAAGATGGAGCACATGCGGCGAGGATGGCGACGTGCGTATAAGGCTTGGACGAGTCTGGAGCGCGTCGTGGCAGGATCATGCAAACACATGGCGTCAAGCAATGCACGGACAAGTGCGGGGCGGTCACGACGCAGGGTGGAGCATGGTTGCAGTCGGATAATTTCGGCTGGGTCAGACTGGACTGTCTGACGGATCGATGGGGATGTCGGTCAAAGCAGAAGACGGCGGTGATTTCAGCGACGACGACATAGGAGCGTGATGCTGATGGTGGTCGACTTCTGGGGCGTGGAAACACATGGTGCAGGCCTGAGGGCTTGTGCGGCTTCGACAGACTATGGCGCAGGGTTGATTCAAAGCAGTGTACACATGAGAGCTTGAATTCAACAGGGCGCGGGGGTGGCATGTACAACCACCATGGAGTCATGTTGAAGGTGGAGTTGGAGTCTGATGGGTGACTTCACTCTGAGCTGATGGAGGGGCTATGGCGTAAGTTAACGGAGAGTCGAAGCCTATTTCAGCGGGATAGCGAGAGACACGTGGATCGGACTGGGCGCCAGTGGTCTGATGGAGGCGTGATACTCGGCATCGGTCGGTGATGATCGATGGTTCTTTGCAGTGAGAGTTGAGACAGTGGGGGCTAGCTACCCGGGAGACTCGACCAGGACAGCAGAGGCTCGACGCGGTGATAGCGGCGAGGCGTGCGGTAAGCACGGGACACAGCGACAGGCCAGGGCACCAGTGGTCAGATATATTGTTAGACAAAGTGTGCAGGGGGTGCTGAAGCAGTGTTGACAAGTACAAGATTCAAGTTGGTGACTGGGTCTATCGGTGCCGGTTGATGGACAGGAGTTGACCATGGAGAATCTGAGAAAGTGGCGGAAAGTCTAAAATTGTCAAAACAGAGAAAGTACATGGCCGTATATTCTGTGGTGCTCGATGCACATGGCAAAGTGTGGATGACAAGACAGAAGGAGGCGGAGTGCTATAGCTTTGGGACATGCCAGAGACTATCCGGAAAAGGGGTGAGACAACTGTGAATTTGACTCAGGGTGACACAGGGCAACGGTGAAATTCCTTCAAGTTTCAGACAAGCAGTCAAGAAAGAGCGGTGACGTTGAGTTCAAGTAACTCTTATATGTGGCGTCCAATATGTGAATTGTTCATTTTCATGCAGACAGTGGTCGGTGTGTGATGGTGTTGAACGGATTCTCCAAAAGTTGGGAGCACAAAGTAGAGTATTGAGGAACTTAATTTTGCTCGAGTGTTGACTGTGAAGAAGACGAGAAGGGACTACAATTGCAGGTGGAGTCACATGGAGTCTGGGAGTAGCAGCGGTGCTCATGGTGTATCTCAAGTCCAATGTACATGGAGGTTCGACGCACGAACGAATTCAAGGTGGTGGAGAATATTCGCCAAGGTGGAGTTTGTTAGAGTTGTGTCGTTATTGTACAAGTTAGGTTACAGTTGGACTTGGAGTCGTACGGTGTGTACACAGGGTAGGAGTTGTGTCCTAATAGGACACTTGTATCCTAGGCCTCTCATATATATCGGAGGTAGACACATGATGTAACCTATGCCAACATAATAGCACGGGCACGCGGGGGAGCCGGCGGCGTGTGCCGGCGCCCGGGCGACCAGGGTGCGGTATTGTGACGGTGTCATGGGGAGGAGCGCCCGTAGTCATGCCCCGGGGATGTAGCCATATCGGTGAACCTCGTTAACAAATCTCTGTGTCGTGCCTCGTGTGATTGCTTGCTCCTCGGTAGATAGATGGAGTGCCTCGGATTATTCTAACAAGTGGTATCATCAGCAAGGTTCGAAGAGGTCGCTGATTGTTGATCTAGAGGAAACGACGAAGACCGGCGGATGGTCATGGTGAACGTGCGGGTTTGCACGATTTCAGAAGGACCTCGGCAATGTTCGGAGATCGTCGGGTGAAAAGCAGTCGGCAGATCGGCATGCATGATCGGCTTGGACTCAGCGCAATAGCATGCATCAGATGTTATTCGACGGCGGCGTGTTCTGGTTGAGGACTCGCGAGATGGGATCTGATCGGTGCAGCGGTGTAATGCATGGAGCGACAAAGGGCTAGCCAGCTAGGGCAGCGGTGTGTCGCGTGGCTGGCAGCTGAGCGAACGCGTGGAGAGCTTCGGCTCGAGGCGGAGGCCCGGCGGTAGTAGCAGCCAGGAGCGGCTGGGCAAGGCCCATGTGGCAGGCGCGGAGCTGAAGTCCAGGAGCACCTGCGTACAAGATGCAAAGCGTGAGATTTGTTGGATAAAAAAAGGCGTCAGATGTGGTGTACTTGCCATCGGGTGCTTGAGAGAAAAAGGAAAAAGGAAAGTTTGGGTTAGCTTATGCCATCTTTGGGCACGGGAGGCTACCACTGATATGTCGTTTTTTGGTGTTTTCTCTGTGTTACATGATGGCAGCGGTCAATACACTGCAGAAAATAAGGACGCGGAGACGCATATCCATGGGAGATCAATGTCAATTGGTAGCTGGATCGATGTTTATTTTGCGGAATGCCAAGTTGATCAAGATGGAGCACATGCGGCGAGGATGGCGACGTGCGTATAAGGCTTGGACGAGTCTGGAGCGCGTCGTGGCAGGATCATGCAAACACATGGCGTGAAGCAATGCACGGACAAGTGCGGGGCGGTCATGACGCAGGGTGGAGCATGGTTGCAGTCAGA